TGATTTAAATTAAATTTAATAGCGATATTTTATTTCATTGAAATGTCATGAAAGACTGAGGTTGAAATTTTAATGAAATTTTAATGAGATAGAGAAATATAGACAAGAAAAAAGGACGAAAAAACTTGTTGCGTGTATTTATTATTTCGTTTAAGTCACAAATGAATGATATATTTCATTTTATTGCAATCTATTTACTGAAGAATGGATGGATAAGGGATTCAAAAGTATTAAAATATAATTAGCCTAAGATTAATTGGCCTAGAAAATCTTTTTACTTTTATTAACACCAAAGATGAAGCTTATTTGGCTAAAATATTTGATCTAAGCAAATATTATCACCTTATGATATTGCTTACTGATAATGATCTTAGCATTTCTTTTATGATAATTTTATGTTGTAAATTTATTTTTCAGAGAATTTTATAAATCTTCATCATTACCGAAGATAGCATTATCAGATCGACATAGTGCTTTTCCACCGACACCATCCGGTTGTATTCCGAAACGTAACGATATCCTACTGAATGATATTCAAATACAGGATACAGTTGCTCCTTCTAATGTATTGTTTTTTTTTTTTTAAATAAGTTAATATTTAACAATTTTATGCTATCAATTAATTTTTAATAGAAGTTTTTCTTTTTTTTCAAATGAAATATTTTTGAAATTTATTTATTATTTAAGTTCTTTTATTCTTAAAATTTTTGAGCGTATTTTTAATTTTCATTTTTTTTTCTTTCATTTCATATTATTGTTTTAAGTAATTCTTATTATACATCATGGAAAAAAAAAGATTTCCTTTGATTAAATGATATGATATATTTGATTAGTTTAAAATATTTAACCTAAAAAAGATAGATAGAAAGAATAGATTATTAGTTATTAAAAAATTTAAGTATTTTTTAAATGTAATTCCAGTAAATATATTTAACTAATAAGCAAATATATCTGAATGATAATTTCGGCAAATAATTTGATTGATAATTTTAACAAATATGTTTAGTTTAGCAAATTTAAATATGATAAATATTAATTTATTGATTGATGAATTTTAATATGCAAATTAACCTAATTATATTTTTTTTCCTTAATTAGTTATTTTTTTTATCATATATTATTCTCATTTACAGAATTGTATATGCAATAGGCCAGCTAGTCATATTGTTTGTACCAGATGCGGGTTTGAACTTGTTGGACGACTTCAAAAAGTTTGTCCAGAACATCCAAAGAAATTAGCGCTCATGGATCATCGTGAATGTCCAAACAGGCTATGCAAAAGTATTCATTTAATTGAAGTATCACTTCAACATTGAACAAAAAAAAAGAATGAAAGTGATAATTTGCATTATAGTGTCTATCTATAGATACATGGTATGATATGATATGATATGATATGATATGATGATACGATAATACGATACAACGATACAATACTTAATTTTTTTTCCCTACAATGTCTATTTGTTTCGATGAATTTGTAAATTATTTTATTTAATTTCATATCGTTTTCCTATATATATACATATATATATATATAACATTGTAAGTTTACCACACTTTGATGGCTTCTTAATTAATTAAAAAGAAAAAAGTTTGAAATGAATGCTAACATCCATTTTCTATAGCTATTTCAATTTACTGATATTTAATTTTTTTTTTTTACTTTTCGTTCCTTTTTTTTTAAAAAAATTTCTTTTCGAAGTTTCCAATAAATTTCAAAAATTCCGATGAAATAGTACTTGATTGTTACGTTGTTTCCGGAATTCCGGAAATATCTAATGATTAAAAGGTTTTAATTGCTAAAAAAAGCTCGAAAGTTTTTGGCAAAATTTAAAAAAAAAAAATAAGGGAATTTGATTATTGATTCATATCTTTTAACATAAACTATTCATCGTCCTTTTGTGTCATTTGGCGCATTTTATTTATTATGTTTTGTATTTATGCTTTTTTTTTTTTTTTGTATATGTGTGTCACTGAAATTTGCTACAATTTGGTGACTTCTTAATTAATAAAAAAAAAGGATGTCAATATTATTTTATTATTGTTATTGTTTATTATTATTATTATTATTATTATTATTATTATTATTATTATTATTATTACTATTATTATTATTATCAATTGTTAATCATTGTTGGTATTATTATTAATATTATTACCATTATTTACAAATAAAAGAAGTATAGCAGACAATAAATGAGGAATACTATAATATGTAACTTACAATGTTAGAATCATATATTTGCTAAATTTTGTATTTGTATATTTGTTATTACTTACTTTTCATTTTTATTTTCTCTTCAATCAAATTATTTAATAAATTTAAAATAAAATTTTCCATCTTTTTGACATACAATTTACAAATTATTCCATTTTCTTACTTTCTTCATTTATGTAAGCAATAATAAATGTGAAAATAAATACAAATGTTTTACTAAAAAGAAAGAATTATTTCTAAGTATTGTTGAAGACATAAAGCAATGATTAAGCTGATAGATAAATGATAATATTATCATACTTAATGCATCATGTCATTTTTAAATGGATAGTATACGATGATAAGTATATGCTAAATTTTTTTTTTTTTTAACGTTTGAATTTCCATTTTCCTTAAACTTTTTGAAGGATAAATAAACTTCTCTTATATGATACCTAAATTGTATCAATTGCATTATCACTTAACGTTGGTTTGATTACTAGTGTAACATTTATTTCTTATAATGATTATATCACTGATCAACTAGATTAAGTGCTGTAAATTTAATAATTTAATAAAAATTAAATTTAATAAAAATTAAATTTTAATAAAAATTTAATAAAAATTAAATTTTAATAGTATCCAAATTTTTTGATTTTGATATTATTATAAAGTACTGTAACAAGCTAGATGAAGTACTATAATAAGAATATTAAGTCTTAATAATATCCAGATTTTTTGATTTTAATATTATTATGAAGTACTGTAACGAGCTAGATGAAGTACTATAATAAGTATATTAAGTCTTAATAATATCCAGATTTTTTGATTTTAATATTATTGAGGACATTAATTAGTATAAGTACTAATTTTCAGGCTACTTTCGTATTCGTTAATTGGAACGTTTGTTTACAATATAGATGAGTAATATTATGGGATGATAATTGGAATATGATAGTTTTAATCAATAATTTCAAATTTTAACTATAAGAAGTGAATGCCGCAGCTGTAAAATAAATTAAATGGCAAGTTCACTTCCACTTTTAATTTTTTAATATAATTTTAATACTTTTAATTCAGTTAAAGTACTTAGATACTTTTAATTCAATTAAAGATACTTTTAATTCAATTGAAGTACAGTGGGACCGAATGTAGCACAGTGACCAAGCTAGGATGCGTGAAAGTTTTTTGGTTGCCAAATTGAAAATAGCATACGAGGAATGCCGGGCATGTTCTTTGGGGATTTGAGGGAGGGGGACAGGGGTCTGAGGGTTTCTGGCTCTCAAGTTCTTTTTGAGAAATGGCGGGCATATTCTTTGGGAATTAGGGAGGTGGGGGACGGGGATTTGAGGGTTTCTGGCTCTCAAGTTCTTTTTTTTTTCCTTTTATATTAAATTGATAATTCTGATATTCTCTGAGTATTTCTCACACAATTAAGTTAAGTATTCGATGCTTATGAGCAGAGTTATTCGAATTTAAATCTGTTTTATTATATCTGCCTTATACTAAATATTATTATCATTTTGGTAGTTTAAATGAATCATTCTATTTACAACTAAATTGCCATATATTACTTTTAAAATATGCATCAAAGAGAAGAAATTTACTGCTTATAGGAAATAATCGTAGCGTGTAATGATTTTAGTATGTTTGTTAAAGTATTGTCATTGTTATAATTGAGGATGTGGATGTTGTGCAATGGCTTTATCATTTTCTTCGCTTATTTATTGACAGCATCATATGGTAGCGTGAATTTGAAGACGTTAAAAGGAAAAGATACGTATACGGAAGAATTGCTTATTAAAAGATTAAAAAGTGAGCATCTGTTAGCACAGTTTCGGTTTGTTATTACGTCGGATGCTAAATCAGGTAAGAGCTTCTCTTTCGTTTCAATGCTTATTAGTTAATAAATAAATAAATATAAATAAACTAACTGATTAGCAATTTAGTTTTTTACTTTATTACTTTTTTGTAATAAAGGAAAGAAGTGAAGTGAGCACTATAATTCTAAGACGAATAAGTTTTATGCTAGAATGAGTAAATTAATATTGCCATGATTGGTTATATGTAACAAAATTTTTTTTAAAATTTTAGTCTGATTTAATCTTTAAATGCTGAATGAAATCAAACTAATGTCTGAAAGGTATTAAGGGTTGAATTATGCTGTCTTTCCACGCATTATCAGCGAAGTGGTGGCGAAGCATCACATCCAAGAGTTTCACTTATCACTCACACAAGGTGTTGCTTTCAGTTCTATACTTCAAACTGAAAAGTTTGATGATAATTTCAGCTAGCAAATGTATTGATCATTTTAGCTACCTTCTAACTTTATTGATCCGTTTTCACTTTCTTATGCATTGATTGTTCAATTCGTTAACTCATAAAATTGATGGATGACTGAAATGTAACAAGTGTGAAATACAGAAATTTATGGAATTTATATTTCAGGTTTCTGGAGGTTAAACGAATGGGGTGTACAACCTCAACCATCTTCACCAAGTGGTGCGCAATTGTATGCTTGGATTGATGGAAATAAGACAAGGTAGATTGTTTTCTTGAGAGTAAAAGTTATGGAATGAAGTATCGAGCTAATAAGAAATCAAGTTACATTAAAAATAAAGCTAAAATTAAATCTAGTTCACAATGATTCGGATAAATCTTTCGTTTAAAATTTTTTTTCAGCAAATTAGTTGATGAACGGTGGTCAAGTTTTGTGAATTCGATGAATGGTATTTTTTGTACGTCTCTTCTCGATATTTTGCCCACTTATACAGCCGCACCACAGCTCTCATTTTCGCAGATGGGTTATGTGCATCACAAAGATTCATCACAAATAAGGTACGCTGATAAACTGATTGTTTTTTCTCCATTTGTTCTTGAGTTTCGTTCTTTGCGTCCATTATGGCGATGATTTTGCGTCTGAGAGCGTATATTCCTGGTAACAAAATTTGAAGCGAGTAATGGTAGATGGAAATCGAACGATAGCCCATAAAGCAACTGGTCGGTTCCCTCATAACTCCTCGGTTTTCCTTTTGCTATGTTGGCAATATATTTCTTTTCCTATTTGCACTATTTAACTTTTCGGTACGGTGCTTTGGCTAGTGAAACGATTTGTACGGAAAATTTTACACCGTGGAAAAAATTACTTCCTTGTAAGCAGGTATGCTTTCCTCTTATTCTTCCGAAGATAGTTTGCTTTTCTAAAACATTTTCATAATTTCACTAAATTGTGTATCAGACTCAGTGATAACCACAGAATAGTATTACTCTTGAAATAGTGTTTGAAATAGTTTTTTTTTGAAATAGTTTTGTTCTGTTATTACTTCCAGTTACATTTATAAATAATTCAGACTGGCTTATCTACGCTGTTGAATCCTATTAAAATGTATGAATCAGTTTTTCATTCGATGTCTGTACATTTTCTGCACGTCTGTGAGGTTTGTAATTTTGCTGTTCTATCTGGCAGAATTTTTTTTGTTTCCGCTATCTAAACATTTCAGAAGAGTCATCAACATCGTAAGGAGCATCTTTATAACAAAGTACATCGGCTTTTTTCGAAAAGTGATTATATATAAAATATCTAATGAAAACTAAGCATTTTATATATCTTGGTAAACTTTCAGGATGGAACAACGAATTGTGGAACACGGCGAAGATTGGAGCTCAGTTTAAATTTCGTAACGGAATTAGATTTGAGATCTAGGAATTTAGGTAATTTGAATTTCTTTTAAACTTTCTTTTTTGGAGCTTCTATTCATATTACATTGCTGCCATTTATGACGTTTTTGAGATTGGAGTTTTCGTCATCTATTTGGTCGACAAATCGATCAAAGCTGTGTGATAGCAGACAGGGATATTGTTTTATTTGAGGTGGATCGGAAGGTACTTTTACATTTTTTTCTTTTATACCTGGAATACACATATTACTGAGACTTGAAAAAAACTGGCTTATCTGAAATGATCTTTTCTTTCAGGTTATGACGGAAAACAACGAACAACGAAAAATGGGTAATCGGATTTACACACTCTATAATATTTCCGCCTACCCACATCATGCTTTCCCAATTGATATAAGTGCAAAATATGCAAGTCGTTTGGAATTACCAGTCGATAATAGTCCTACTTTGATTACGTTCGTGTTTAATTTTTAAAAGCGTTTTGTTTCTGTCTTTCTAGGTTTTTACAGAGATTTTTACTTTTCCGTAATTTCAACCTTTATAGTCTGCTAATAGTTCAGATGATAACTTCTACTTGAAAATGCCATAGTTCGGCGTATTGCCATACATCCGAAGGCATCATTTTTCATTTTCTCAAAAACGGGTTAGCTAAGTATGGAAGGATTTTTGAAAGCACATATATCTCATGTTTGTTAAGTCATTTCTTTTTATTCCGCAGATAAAGATATTTATTTTTAAGTAAAATGGATGATTTTCCAAACTTCTATACCTATATTCTGCTATCTTTTGGTTATGAAGCAAGCCACTGTTTTTCAGAATTCGAACATATGTTACGGGTACAGATCAGCAATCGGGACGTCTGATTAGTATTTTGAGAAATGCACAACATATTCCTCAGTGTGTTGTCTATACTCATGTGGTACCATGGTTCATAAAAATATATTATCACACAATTCTTTTTACTTGTCATCCTCTAGACGTTGAGCAGGTAACTAATCAACAGATTTTAATACTAAATTTGTGTTTTAATAATTAATAAATATCAGGCGTGGATCAAAAGGTACAAGAAATAATTTGATAAACTAATTGAATCGTGGACAAAAAATTCCAGCTATATAAAATTTCAGCGAACATTTCACACGTTCTTGGGTTTCAAGTAATGTTATATTGTGAAAATTTTTTAAACTTTTGTATTTTTAAGGGTCAGTCCTTGAAGGGAAAAGTGAACAAAAAAGTTTTTTTACCAGCAAAAGATCGCCAACGACCATTCCTTTTGGAATGGAATGTCACTCTTCCAGAAAGTTCATTTTGCGAAATATCTTTGGAATTCGACAAAGCCTTCTTGAGGTTGGTTTAGCGTTTATCACTGAGGAAGGCAGTCAGTGTGCTTCATAAAAGTAATGGAAAATTTTGTTACTGTATGAAAACATTACAATGCTCAAAATTGATTTTTATTTGGTCGATGTCATTTGTATAGAAGCAGTTGCATATCATTCTTTGAAATGACAGCGGAATTTGGAATTTGGCACTTTTTCATAAATTTTACTGAAATGAATCATATCCTAATAGATTTCGGAACTCAATTTTCAAATTCCCTCGGTCACAATTTTCATTTGTGTAAAATTATGAAAGCTGAGGATTGATCCTCATTCTTATTTCAGTACGCTGCACAGTACATCCTAAAAATAATATCCAAAACGAGTAGTAGATCTCCCAAAAGAAAAATTAATTGGAGGAGTGGAATTCTCTTTAATCCTTGTACATTCGGAATAATGGTATGGTCGCAACCATTTATAATACTCATAAAAAATGAAAATTGGAATTTTTTCAGAGTAAATGAATATCCCCCAGATGCTAGTCATGGCTTCTACATTCCGGCACCTGTTATAACTTTCAATGCCAGTGCTGAGTTGTGGAAAGAAAATCGGACTGACCTCGGCGATTCACTAACTACCACTTACGATGAGTAAGTATGAGGTTCAGTTGAATGTAGCAGTTTTATCGTGCAGGCCATCTTACCCATGTTAATTTTGCAGAATATTAGGTTCGAAAAGTTCGCGCATAATTAGTATGCATGGCGAAGTGCTGCTTATTTTATTGCCGGTGCCGGATTTTAGTATGCCGTTCAATGTAATTTGCCTTGTTTGTACAGCTATTGCTATGCTTTTTGGTCCAGTACATACTCTGACTACAAAAATGTTAGTTCTTCCTTATCTTTGCATTTATACTACTGGGAAATTTCATTTATATCTGCAACATTGGTCGATGATTTGGTAGGATTGCATTTTAGGTATGTGATTAACAAACAATTAACATTGAACAGTCAACAAAATATTTGATGAATTTGTTTCAGGATGATACCTCTCTCGGAGGAGGATAAGGATTTAGCCCCACTCCCACCATTACGACAATTTTTTTTATATATTTATGAATTTATTGTTCGACGATTTGTTCCAGTATTCGTGAGGCAGTCTATCGCTAAAAAGGAGAAAGTTTCATAATTGACAATTTTTAGATTAGTTTTTACAGTTTAACAGATTTTGATTTACTTCATAAAATACCGCAGTTTTGTTTTATATGCATCCTCATTGGCAGTACAAATAAACTGCTCCGCTCTTCAAAACACTTCTTTTATTCTTAGTAACTTTATAAGTCAACTCAGTAACTTTATCCTTAATCCGTAATCAATGTAACAATATTATATTATTGGGAAACAATATGTTTAACTCTATTGTGTTTTATGTCATAATTAGAAACAGCCACAAAATGTTTGCTGTCGAAATATTGTTGGCTTGTTCAAGTAGTTTCCTTCATTGTTTTTCCTTTTTTTTAAAAGTATCCCCTTGTTTTGTTTCTTTTCCATATAAATTCCGTCAACCATGCAGGTTTGTACAAAGAAGTTTTGCTATTATTCAAAAACAATTTTCTTGAAAAGTTGTTTTCTGCAACATTTTGTTTACATTTATCTTCGTTTTAAACCGTTTGATTAGGAAATATTTTTCACATCGAAAATTTTACTTGTGGTGCAGTATATATGTATATTTCAATGTTGATGTTGACTTTATATTTCATGTTCGTTTTGACGAATCCTCAAGCTGAGTATTACCTCACATTTGAATGGTTGAACCCAAAAGACATTGTTTTTATTCTGTTTATATGAGCAAATGAACTTGAACGAATTTTATTTTTGGTGACGAGAATTTTTGAGAATAATGCATAATTTGAAGATGGCACTCTCATCAAGCAAAAATAAAATATCCACTAATATATAGGTCAAATAATACTATTTATGAATAGACGCCTCAGCAGTTGGTTGACGACAATGATCGAATTGCCAATCGTCAATTCTTTAAAAATTTTGTTTAAAATTTTGTTTTAAAATACTAATAATGTTTTTTTTAGCTATTAGCCGTATATTCTATACTATTTGTTTTCTTGCTATGACAATATGGCGATTTCTGCCAAAAATGGTATGTTTTGAAATACACTAAATTCCGATAAAATATTTGCCACTGAGAAGTTTTTTTTTTCACATAGTTTTTATAGTTATTTAATGCAAGGATAGCAGGAATGTTTTTTCCTCTATATTTGAAATTCGAAAGTTCAAAATAAATTTGAAGTTACAATGCAAATAATTCAACATGTACGTGTGAATCATTACAGACATGTTCTTTAAATCTCTCAGCAAGACCAAGAATGAGAATGACATATTGAAATTTTGCCAGAAAAAAGCGAAAATGAAAAAAAGAAGTAGAAATAGAATCAACCGTTTTTATTTCGCTTATCCTTCGAAAGATTTGCTATGTTTAAAGCATTTGGCAGTTAAATATTTCATCGGAATAAAAAGGAGAAACGTTTTTATAGCAATTTTTATGTGGGAAACAAAGAGAAATCATATGGTTTAGAAATTTTGACTGATGATTGGAAAGAACACAATTAGTTTAAAGGATAAAGTTTTACATTTATTTTTTCATATTCCGCGCTGATTGACATATTTTACCGCTTGGATTTGTCCTTTTTTTGTACCCCTCGTATGTATTTTTATTTTCCATAGCCTATGTTTTGATTCAGTTTTACTTGCTCGAGATCGGATTATATAAAAATTGAAGGAATTTTAGAAATTATTGCACTAGATGATGAGGATGATTTTAAACCACCGCAAGTACTGCAAAATCAGGCTGATAAGTGGGCATTTCTGAT